CATTCCCCTCGTGCTAGGAGCCCAATGGTCTGGAGTTCTAGCAGTACTTTCAAAGAGTATTACTGAGACTTAGCACCACAAGCAAAACAGTAAATCAGAGCCTGTAAGCCTGCACAAAAGTTTCTGTATTTGGGTCTGATTGTGGTGCTCAGTCATACCACAACTGCAGACAAAACTGGATGAGGTAAGTTAAGCAAGACAAGGGTGCTGAAAAGCTTTCCCACCTTCTAAGTATTTCCATATGCTGGTAATTGCATTTGCAGTAAAACTCTTAAGACCATAAGGCCTCCATGGCATGCTGCAGAGCTGTGTTCTTGCCTCAGCCAAAGCAACCTGTGGATGAGAACTCAGCTTCAAGTGCAACAATACAAGTTGTGTTCTGCCCACACGCCTCATTCTTCAGAAGGTGTTGTGCCTCTTGTCTCCACCCTCAAGAAAGCTAAAAACACTCTAAAAGATCATAGCAGTCAGATGAGATTAGAGAACCAGATTATAGCCAGTTTAAGACATGAAAACACCAGAGGTCTTCTGGCCATGCTGCAGGCTGGCATGGCAGGAGTCAGCTCTGCTGTGGAGCCCAACAGTGTGTGTAAAGCAGCCGAGCACAGCGCTCAGCCTGACGCTGGGTAGTGAAGTGCTCCTGCATGAAGAAGTGCCTTTTCAAGGTGGGCAATGCTGGATGAACGTGCATTCATGCATGGGCCAGCTGGGTGCCAGGGCAGGGCGGCCGGAGTCTGTCTGTGTTTGCCCCCTACAAAGGCACTCTCCTCTACTTAGAAATCTCAAAATCTGTACGTGCCAAGCAAGGAGTACAGCACTTCTGTGGGGCTGTTGGTTCTGTGGCACTCATGGGTGATGGCTTAAAGGTTTGAGCAGGAGGACGTGCTGTCAGAAGAGCTGGAGATGCTCAGTCTTTCACAGCTCCAGTTCTTTGGCCCTTAGCTCCCGAATTCCAAAGCTTTGCAGTTCGGCAGAGCTGGGAGCACTCCATGCAGGTGTGGGCTGCGGCCCTGCTGACTTCAGCAGCGCTGCTCCCATTCTCATAATTACTGCAGGCCAGGAGGGGCTGTGTTGGCAGCGTGTAACACAAGCCTCAGATACCATGAAGCACATCGAGCAACGCCCTGCCTCAAACAGGCCTGAAAGGGAGCACCACGTTACCCATCTGGAGAAAACCTGTCCTGGCTTTGTCCTAGCCCAGATTTTTTTGGCTGCAGCTTCCAACTTTTGAATCTCCTTTATGCCTTCTGCAGCAGCATAAGACTCTGAATTAGCAAAGTAAACACACGTGGCTTTAGGCACAATGCTTTGAGCATGGCCTTGCACTTCATGGCAGACATTTGGTGGTGCAGACCTGAGATATGTCCTCAGTGAGAGCAAGCTTGGCCACCTGGTCAGGTTTGTCTGCAGCAAACCCCTTAGAGCTCTAGCTTTGACTAGAAACTTTGATGGCAGAGAGGAAGTTAAAGTTGAGAGCGGGAGGATTTTAATGAAATAATCCTTGGCAAGGTTTCTCAGGTGCAGGCACTTTTGGTTGAGACCCCTTGCCTCCATAGCTGCCTCCTCCAGGAGCAGGGCAAGCAGACCACGGCTTGGCCGTGTTGGATGGACCAGTCCATGGCACATTGGTCAGACCATGGTGGAATGGCCATGCCATGATGGATTGAGCAGGCTGCAGAGGATTGACCAGGCTATGGTCGAGCAGGCAAGGCCTGGCGTGTTTAAGGGAACATCCAGGAGACTTGTGTTTAAGAAGGAAGCACTTCCAAATACCTTTAAAATGGATGGTGCCATCAGGGTTTTCTCCTGGTTGTTAATTAAACCTCTCAGACAGAGGGAGGTTTTAGCCAGTGACTTGAAGGAGGAACTTGACCTTACTTCTGAAGTCCTTGGAAGTAAGACTTCACAAAGGAAACACAGTCATTCTCCCTGGAATGTGAGCCTTGCCTCAGCTTTCACCTTCTCGTGAAATGCAGTAATAACTCTTCTTTTTTCACCCGTAATTATATGTGATGCATCAAATAGAGTCCTTGTCCTCTGGTGCTCAGCTATGAGCCATACGGCACACACATAAGTGAAGATTAGCGATTAGACAGGCCTTGAGTTCAGTAACATGATTACAGTATAAAAATAGGCATGAAGCTGAAATTGCACCTCTACTTGTGCTCATTTTGCACAAGCAAGAAAAGGGAGATTTTCATAATTTTATTTCTGAGGTTATCATTTCATATAGATATAAAGGGATTTCTGGTTGAATTGTAGAGATCAGACAATTATTTATGAATCATTTATATTTATGTGCTACCTATAAATACTCCAAAGCACGTTATGAAAAGTAATTATGTGTTTTTGATGACCGCTTTATGCAATTCAAAGAGGATTCTGTGTTCTTCTCAAGTCTCAGCTCCACCACCCTTTTATACCATTCTGTCAGTGCAAGCATAAACTGATCTGGGAAGAATCTGCTCAATGCAAGAATGTCTTACTACGAGCAGATACCAGCAAAGTCCCACTTTCTCACCACAAGCTGCTGCACTGTAGTACCGTGTGTTAATATCTGTGGTGGTTAAAAGCAAAACAAAAAACAAAGCAGGTGCATCTGACAGCATCCATCAGCCATCTCTTATTTGTTCACTTGGCATCAAAGGCACACTCCTCCTGTCTCTGTGGGACATCTGGCATGGGGCACCAGCATGGGGGTGGTGAGACCAGCCAACAGCTGCACCCAGCCCAGCAGGGATGGAAAAGTAGGCCAGAAGGCTGGGGAGACTTGGTGCAACCCATATCATAGAGATATGGAAAAATGCAACACAGAAGGCACCAACTGATTGAGAACTCTCTAATAAACTTCACGTATTTCTTGCACTGCATGGCTAGAATTAGAGAAAAAGGTTGTAAGTAAGATACAGAGCACAAGAATATTGGAGAATTACTGAGTGCGACTCTGGATTGTTTCAGTGCTAAATAGGTTGGCTTTGCCTCAATACCTGCCTGATCTTTACAGTGAAAATTATGGTGTCAATTATAGTGAAAATAATTTTAGTTTCCCAAGCACCCAGAAATCATTATGAACCTGATCCATTTGAAATGTAGCTCCAAGGCAGTGCCAAATGTTATCGCAATTTTCATGCTAAAAATGAGTGTTTCTTCTTCTCTTGACACTTACGTAATACTACAAACACAGTGTCAGGACAGCTTGTCTCTATTTGTATCTCTGTCTTTCCCAAACCCCTTCTCCTCCAACCAAGGATTACTGCATAAACAGACACCAAGAAACCTGATGTGCTATTGCATGATTATTTTATATTTAAGCCAAGTTTAATTATTCCCTTTGTCCCCCGTAAAAACAGAGGGAATAAGAAAAAAAAGACATCTAACCCCCCCAGGCAATCAAGAAACATGTTTAATTTGAGAATCATTTCTTGTGTAAGAAGAGAAAGCTTCTAAAAGATGTAGAAAAATCCTAATTCTCACTCGGTTTTTCATTTTGAAACATAAATGTAACTGACAGAAACCTCCATTCCAGGTGCTGAAGCACAGGCTGCTCCCTGAGCTTCGGCCCTTCAGCTGGCACATTCCAGGGGGTTTCTCCCTTGGACTGGTTTTTCCAAGCTCACCCAATCTGGTTATTTCCTGGGTCCCAGCCCAGGCCCAGTCAGCTCCTCAGCTCAGGACAGCCACCGGCCACATTCTCCTTCCTTTCTAATTACCTCTTTCAGAATGGATTCTTTGCACACACCAAACTTGCTCTGGGTGGGTGCAGTGTTTCTTACATTTCACTGCTGCCTTGGCTCAAATGGCCTCATTTACATGAGGTTAAAGCCACTAATTTAAAACATACAAAGCAGGTGCCGCAGAAAGCCATCATCAGAAAGAAGGCCATGGAGAGACAGCGAAAGGGGTTCAGCCTGATATTCTCCACTTACCAGAAAATTCCAGCCGTGAGAAGCCTCTCAACACCTCAGAGTATTTCCTGAGTCTGCTTTGCCCCTGATGTGAGCCTGTGCAAGCTCACCCTGCTGCCCGTTTCTTCTGGGAATGACCCCCTCGGGCAGGGCACTAGGCTCCACTGCCCTACAGCCAGCACACACATTTCTCATGGCTCATGTCCTCTCAGAGCGGATGCACTGGGAGGGAAGCATGGGGAGAAGCCTTCAGCCACTGAACATCACATCACAGCAATCATACAAGAACACAGCAACAGAACAACAGAACAACAACAGAATCTTACAAAGATCATAGCAAGTTTGTGGATGATACCAATCTGTGTTATGGTCAGTATGCCTGAGGGATGGGACGTCATCCAGAGAGGCACAGATGGGCTCAAACAGTGGGCTCAAGTGAACCTCATGAGTCAACAAAACCAAATGTGAGGTCTTGCACTTGGGTCGTGGCAACCCCTGCTACCAGCAGGAACAAGCTGGGGAATGTAAGGATAGAAAGCAGCCTTGCCAAAAAGACCTGGAGGTGCTGGTGGATGGGAAGTTGGACATGAGCCAGCAATGTGCCCTTGCCAACCATACCCTGGCTGCATCAAAAGCAGCACGGCCAGCAGGGCAAGGGAGGTGATCCTGCAACCTCTGCTCTGTGAGACCTCACCTGGAGTACCGTGTCCAGATGTGGAGTCCTCAGTGCAGGAGAGACATGGACCTGCTGGAGTGCGTCCAGAGGAGGGCCACAAAAATGATCCGAGGGATGGAACACCTCTCCTATGAGGACAGGCTGAGAGCTGGGGCTGCTCAGACTGGAGAAGAGAAGGCTCCAGGGAGATGTGAGAGCTGCTTTTCAGTATCTAAAGGGGGGCTGTAAGAAGGAAGGGGACAGACTCTTGGACGGCAGCCTTATCTAGGAATGAAACACTTGTTTTAACTTGCAAACATACAACACCCACCCCCAGCTTTCCAGCCCCATCCCAGAGATGAGCGCAGGAAGGGGCTTCCAAAGCGCACACAGGTCACGACTGCTTTGTGAATGATTCATAAGGAATGCTAAAAACAAAGTAAATGCAACATGTTTTATTTGACATTGGAATAAATTACAACTGTAAAGCATGATTTATTGCTTTATAAATTGTCTGCTCTTAAAAGGCATTAATATCAAACATAAATGAAACAAAGACACATTCGATTAGCAGTTCAGTTCTCTGAAGCTTTATGAACAGCTCAGTAGAGTGATTTCATTCTGTATACGACTGAAATCTCAGATCACAGGCTCATAAACTCGGCTTTGACATGCATTATGATCATTCAGACATACGGAGGGGACTGTAGGTGTGTTTGTTCATTTGCTTTAGGATATAATTTTTATTGCAATTTTCCCTAAAATATCCCACTGAATATCCAGTCCTTCATTCCTCACTCAAACACAGATCCCACTGTTTTAAAAAAAAAATACTTAAAGGATGCTTAGTTTTTTCTGCTCCTGTAGAAGAAGAGTTTTCAAATCTAAAACCAGAAATAGCGTGGTCCCAAAATGAACTTTTCCTAGATTAAAACCCTTAAGTCCCATGCACAGAAAGTGTTTTCTCCCACTTTGATTCTGGAAAAAAAATCCCATTATTATCTGAATTAACTGGGAATTAAATTATTGAATTACCATTTTTATTGCACAGTTAATCCCTGCTTGAGACTGGTATGAATTTTGCTTAGCACCTTCACTCGTCCAGGAACAGACCCAAGAAAGCCCAGTGCTGGGGCATGAGAGGCTGCTGGCAGCAGGCTGGGTGCGCCTGGCTCTTTGCAAAGTTCAGCCCTTGAAAGGACTTCAAGGGCAGAATCTGCCCAGCTCAGCAAGATGTAATGCTGAGAAGGTAAGCCAAAAAGACACTTGTTTGGCTTCCTGGGGAGCCACAGTTCCTGGAAGCCAGAGAAAGAATGGACTCTTGTGAATAACTCTCATTGTACCAAGGAAAAGGATTCCACTGAGGCATGCTGCCCTGCTCTGGCCCTCTCTGGGAGTGCTTTAACAGGCAGCTGCTCCTGTATGCTGGCTGCAGAAGAGCATCTCCTTGTGCTACTCCCCCAGGAAAGAGTGTGACCCTGTGCTTGCTTTTCTGGCTGTGTCCAAAGCAGCACAAAGTAAGTTGGCTCATGTCCTTGACAAAGGGCAAAGCTCTCCAGAAATGAAACTCCTATCTACATGAGACTCCTATCTATATCAGCACTTGGAACAAGCCAGAGAGCTTGCAGAAAAAATCTGCAGGGCAGCTTCTCTTCAAACTACAAAATCAATTTTAAGATGTATGAATCACCAGTACAGAAAATCCTTCTAGAAGTGGCTCAGCATTACTCAGACAGCTCCTATTTAGAGAAGGTTCCTCTCCTATCAGCACCCTTGTGCTCTTTTCATGCCTGCAAGAATGCAAACAGCAGAATGGGATGCTGGTTTTTGTTACTGTGTTACTGAATAGGAATAGCCAATCTATTACTGGATCCAAGAAATACATATCAGACTTCAAGATTACACTGATTCTAGTGCAATTTCAGTTTTCAGTAACATTTCATCAGTCACGATGCATGTTCTATGCAGAATTTCATTAAAAACAAACAAACAAACAATATTTCTCCTTCTAAGCAGTTCCCACGGAAGACCTGTTCTGTTGGGCCATAATACAGAGCCAGCATTGATCTCTGCAGGGCAGTACAGCAGATTTGGGGCGCTGTGCCCACCAGTGACAGCTCCCAACAAGTCAGGTGCCATTGCAGTGCTTTGCTGGAAGATGGGATCTATACTTGGGAGCTGTGCTGAACTGGGCCAAGCACTCAACATGTTTCAGTGTCCTCCTCATACAGGGACTGGATGAGCCTGGTTTAGCTCCCAGCCACACAGTAAAGTGCATCACGGAGAGGCGGAAAGCAACGGAGCCCCTTCCTCTACCTCAGCTCCTGCCTTGGGAGAATCTTGTGGAAAAGTGGTTTTGTGGCTGCTTTCTGCCAGCAGGACAGTACGTTGCAGCTGCAACAAGGGCACGCACATGGTGCACACCTGATTCATCACAGTGGTTCAGAAACATAGCTCAGAAATGCACAAGCCTTTGAAATCATCAGTCATCTCATTTACGTTCACCCAGAACAGATTCTTGGCTGACTTCTTTCTTTCCTTAGCAGATACGGATTTCTTTTGAAGATGAGAAGCAGGAAAGCTTGCCTTCAGGGACAGGCAGAGACACTCACAAATCAAAACGCACGCACACATCATCCACCACATCAGTGACCTCTAGTCTGCACTCTACAACACAACAGCTTATTGTTTGAACCTTCACTTCTCATCCCTTTCACAGATTCTCAGGACTGATCTTTCCTCTTCCAGTGAGAAGTTCAGTGAGGACTCTATAGCGAAAAACTAACCAGAGGGACAAACTGTTGCCACCAATGCAATGCAGGATTGCATTCAAGCCATGGACTCTAGAGGAGCAGGGTGAGGACCTGAGTTATCCCAGGTTCTGGTCCAGCATGCAGCAAAAAGGGAGACAGCCTCACGGTTACTGTGCTGGCGTTGGGCAGACAGAGTTAATTCCCTACTGATCACACCCTCCTCTTGTGCTTGAAGTCACCAGGAAATGTAAACAGTCTGTATTAACAGACTGTTCAAACATACCCAGCAGAATGGCAGCCTCCAGACAGCTGAACTCTCAAGCAAAGACACTGACAAAGGCATCACCTCTGAAATGATGAGATGCCAATCCAAAGCCTTTTCTCCAGCACTGATGCTGAGCAACTCCCTCTGAGATGTGAATGCTGCTCTCCTATGAAAAGCTGTCCATGGCATTCAGTTCTGAAGACAGTTCAGGAAATATCCCAGTGCATTTCTCCTCTCTCAGCACTTCTTAACAGCTTATGCATTGCTCCTTCTCAGAGTAAGTCGCCAGAAAGAAATCTTCTAAGGAACGAACAACTTCAGGATTGCTACATCTCCTCTAAGGCATTTACCTACAGCAGATGAAAGACCTGCAAAGTCTCTTGCCTGAGCTACTCCTGAGCTGCCCATTTCTGAACAGCTTCCAGCAATGGAGGAGGAAAGGTCTGTGCACACTTGCACAGTCTCCCCATCCAAACATGTGCTGCCGCCAAGGAAGCCAATGGGCCACAGTAAGCATTTTGTCAAGATTGGCAGTGTACTTGCAGGGATCTCTCAAAATCCATTCCCACCTTTATTTCTAGTTCACCGAGTTTGGCCTGCAGCACTCAGGCCAACCCTGAGCTCCAGAGGAATCAGCTTGAAGCCCCTTCTGACTGCCTGGGGACATGGCTCGTACTGAACTGGGCAGCCAATGGCACAATCAAAGAGCACATCTGGAGCAAGGCTGCCAATGGTGCATTTTCTTGTCTGCTCTGCTCACAGGGAGCACAGTGTTCGTCCACTAACAAAACATGGCAGGCATCAATTAGTGGTTATAAAATGCTCTAAATTTTCACAAACCTTTGTAAGCACTGAACATTTCAACTGGCAGGACAGCCATGCCTGAGAATTCAGTGTATGGTTAGAAACAGACACGCTCTCCTACAGTTCTCATCACAAAAGGTCTCACGGAATAAACATGTGCCTACACTGAGATTTTACCAATGGAGGAACCAGATCAGAGGTGCACACTGGCTGGGTCAGGCCCATGAAGCAGATGAATGACTCAGTGAAGAAAAACAAGGCCTCCTAATGTTAGGCCCAGTGCTCCATCCGCCCACCAGAGATTACTACACAGGGGACAAGTACCTCCCCAGAGGGACGGATATAGCACCAAGGGCAAAGAGCCTTTGAAGTTGTGCATCACAGCATAAAGTACAGCACGTGCATATTACATATTTAGCTCCATCCTTGTTTCTCTTGTCACAAGGGCAGTAGTTTGTCAAGTCAGTTATCTTCTGATCAGCCTGTTGCATTACTTCCTATGGAGATGCAGACAAAGACGTGCACGCTGCTCAGTAGTAGAAAAGTTTTGTTTCACGTGGGCTGAAAGTTTCTTATACCCAAATGAGATTTTTGCATGCATCCACATACTCACCCAGATGCTGCCTCTGCTGTGCTCCATGCCTGAGTGTCATGCCATGTTTGCTCTGCGTAGCAGGCATATCATACGCACACAGTAACCTGGTACAAGAGCTCATTCTGCAGGCCGAGTCTCAGGCCAAAACTCACCTACAAAACCTAAAAGTGTTGCTACTTCTTTGCAGTGAATTGGGCTTTCACTAGGAATTAACATAAGCTGCAGCGACTAATCTTATACTCGGTGCCCTTGCTTGTTTTCCTTTCACAGTTCAACCACTTTCTTCCTTAACACTGAAATGCTGAAGTCTTACATAGCATTCTGAGCATTATTCTCTGCTGGCTGTATTTCTCTATGCTCCAAGCCTCTAGCACAACGCATGCAAAGGATAATGTCTGAACTTGTAATGCTTTTAACTAAAAAAATACTTCTAAAAACATAAAACATAAATTATTCATTCTTCTTTGTCCATTGTTTTGAGCACTGAATCTTCTCCCAAGATTTTACACAATTCATTCAGTCTGTGCTGCATTTTAGGAATTCCTGCAAGTTGGGACTCCAGTCTCTGTTTTTCCTCGCTCAGTGACAAGCGGACGTCCGTGTTCAGCTGTTCAAAATGCCAGCCTCCTTGTCCATCAAACTGCAGCAAGTGAGTGTGATACTTCCTGCATTAGAAAATAATGCATCAGTAATGGCTCATTTCTGCACACCAGTCTGGATGTTTGTGTCTATTCTCAATGGTGTCTCTCAGGAAGCTGAGTGCAGGAAGCTGCAGTTCTGGATCACTGGGTAAGAGTCTAGCAAGCTCTTCAGTGACTCATATACCTAGGACACTCCTTTGTGGGGGGTTTGGGCATCACAAATCCAGTCACCAGGACTTCCCCAGGCCATCACCACTGGTGTCATTACAGATATCTACCACATAATGCCTGATGAGCACTCCTCCCAGCTTCAGTCTGCTGCACACCAAACAATCCCTTCTCTTCAGAAGAAAGAAATAGAACACGTGCCCCAGTTCATTTTATTTATTTCTCTTTGCAGGAGGTGTTAGATCTCCTTAGAAGAAAATACATTCAGGCAAGCATCGTGCACCTGACACTACTGACAAAACTGGTTTGTTCAATTTATACCTCAGCTTGTTCCCCTGCATTTTATAAGGTGGGATAAATAAACTTCCAGTCCTAAAACACTGCAAGGAGTCAAACTAAAAGTCTGTGCAAGAGTCACAGATCTTTCAGTGAGTATCAGGGTGTGTGCACTACAAATATTCAAAGGTGTGCGTGTGTGGGGGGGGGTTGCCAAGACCTGACAAGACATTTATCAGGAGGTGCAAGAGGAAGAGCAGAGAGCTCCCTCAGAGCTGCCGTTACAACTGTGCAATTTATCACTGTAAATTATAGAAGATGAAGCACATCATGAAAGGGCAATTATAAATCCCATGCGGGGAATGTGACAGTTTAATAAACTCAGTAGCTTATGACACGAGGTTCAAACAAGATTCAGCTCTAGGCTTACACTCATCACTTCTTGCATATTAATCTTTGAGACACAAAATACTTAGCCTGCCTACTTTTTTTCCCCATTAAAAAATAACAATAATAATAAAATCAGGAAGCCAAGAGAGCTGACTAAGACATCTAATCGTGGTGCTCCAGGAAGGCAGCCAATGTTCTGAATGAAAGAGCAAATATTTCATGGTATAATCTTAAGGAGCTAAGCAGCATGTGACCCCTATACAGTGCAGTCTCTATGAAAGCATATCTGAATGAAAGACATTTGATCCTTGTTTCTGAATACTCAGAACTTGCTGTTTGTTTCTCAATAACAAGGTCATCACATCCCACCCAGCCACCTGCTTTGATCAGTTCCTGCTCCCTGCAAATCGTCAGATTTCCAATAGTTTCAGTAACACTGGAGGCTACAAGAGTGATTCCAAACTTTTCTGAACAGCATGAGTACTAGGAAATAAGAAATGTCCATGGAAATCTGAACTCCAAGATCTTTCTCACCAGTTCTTTCGCAGATTTTCCCTCTGCACTATCACTATTTATAGGTGGAATACTCTCAGATACTTGTTTTCATGAGCAGTGGTTTTGAAATAATCGCAGCCTCCACCATCACTGTCTCCACAGAGGAAGAATGAACACTCAGAAAACTGTTTCAGAGAAGCAGAAACTGCTACAATTTTGTTTCTTTACGGTGACAAATTGGTAATGTGCTTTTTTGTCATTGTCTTAAAAAAGCAAACAGTGTGATACTGGAGACCAAGGACTTGAGTACTGATAGTCTCAGCTGATGTCAGCTTACACCCTCTTATCTCCATTTTCCCTTTGAAGTATTTGGTTGTTTTACGTATTCACCAGCTATATTTCCTTTGAGGGTCTCCATACTAAGTACTCCCTCACTAGAACATACTTCTCGTATTTCTCTTTTTACTATAAAATCACATTTTGAAAGCTCACAGGCCCTGCAGATACAGAACACTGCTGAAGTTAAACCAGTGGATGTATCAATTCCTATGAAAGAACAAAGAGCAGGTAAACCACTACTTGCTATGTTTCCCATCTTCTCCCAAGCACTGGTAAACTTCCCCAGGCCAGCTCATGTACCTTGTCATCTTTGAAGAATAATATGGTGATGAGCTGTGGCTGTGGTGTAGTGGACTAATTAACTGCCTTTCAGCTACCTGTGTGTTGCCATTTATAGTTAATAACTGGCACAAATTTTAAAAAAAATGAGAGGGAGGAATAAGTGTGTCTCAAATAATGAAGAGAAATGAATGGTAAATGCATTTACATTGTTATTATTTTAGACAGATTATCTTACAAAGTGCAGTAGATATTGATTAAACAACTGCCCTAATACAGAACAAAGGCCAACCCATGTCTGTCAGAAAGCTGAAAGCAAGGCCTCTCACAAGTTCCTGGCCATACTTACCAAAGAGAAGGTCTGTGTGTTATAGAAAGCAGGGATATCCCGGCAGCTTTTGCAGCTTGGAATATCTTTCCTTCAACATCAATGCTTACAGCACTCGTGCATTCATCCAGCAGTGCATATTTTGGCCTTTCAAAAGTAAATAAAGGACATAAGTCATCTATGTTTTGGACAGTATTCCTACACATTTAATTGAGAGAACAGTAGAAAGTAGATGTTTTTTGCAGGAAAGCCGCTTCTCATCTGCAGTTGGAAGCCAGCTAGCACCATCAGGTACAGATGTGGCTTCCAGGAAAAATGTGCTTTATTTCCTGGTCCTCTGAGCACACAGTGCTCTAACTCCTGTGTCCCAGTTTGGCCTGGTATTACTCTGTTCTGTCAACAGGCCATGCAATAACTACAGCCAGCTCACAGAGTCTCAATTCACTGCTGTGCACTGACTGCCTTTGCAAGGTTTCCAGTCTTAAAAATAAAATAAAACCTGGAGTTTGGCTTTCCAACTCTCACAAGCTCTAAAGCCGACAACCAGTTTTCTGCAATACTTGTAGGACAGATGCAGGGATGATATTTGTGCCTGATCAGATAAAGAAAGAAACACTCACAGAATGTAATGCCACATTTGCTAAAAGCAAAGTTTAAGTAAGAAGCACTACCCAAGCTACAAGCTGAACTTGCATGAATAAATGACAAAGTATGCAGTCCTATACCACAGTCTAGAAGTACTGCACATTGCATCGAGATTACAGGCTACTGCTGCTCAAACTACTAGAGCAAACCTCCCAAACTCCTTCTCATTTTCAGATATTAAAGAACAAATCAAAATGCTTACTTATGATAAAACATACGAGCCATGCCCATCCTTTGTTTTTCTCCTCCTGATAAGACATCTTTCCAATCCATGATGGCATCCCAGCCTTATAAAAAAATGCAAACAAAGCATGTCAGGACAACATAGGTTTGTGATGAAAATACACCTTCACTTGCAACATCTCTGCAACCCCCAACTGAAGTAATAAAGTTCAGGGTTCTGGATCACATCTTCTGAAACACTTCAATGCCTTTCCACTGGCACTCCATTGGAAAGAAGTCCCAAATGTCACGTCAGTGTTGAAAGCAGAATTTAGACTCTCCCAGTTAGAAAACTTGACTTACCACCTCTGTGAACAGACATCACTGACATATGTATAACTAACCATTTTTCTGCCACATTTTTGCTATTCCTTCTTGAAATGCACGAGTGGAAATTCAAAACAAATTCAGCATATGAAAGGAAATAAATGTAAAGGACATAAGCAGCAGTGTCAGATTATAATGCTTATTGTCTGGCTCCTCTCACTGCTGTGAGTCAGCAAACTTTGCAGGAGCACAGACACAGACACATAGATGCATTCCCTGTGCCCAGACAAGCAGCCAACATACAAAGCAGAGCACACAGACAGGAGCATTTTGCATACAAACTTCCTGATATTTTGGATTTAGAAGTGACCCATATTCTGCACAGCCTCTAAATGATTTTCTTTTTCATCACTTTCAGACACATGCAACAGGGGGGTGAGGAGCTTTACCTGTGATGTTACAGTGGACGTGTGTTTCTGTGAGTATTATGGCATGGCTCATTCCAACTCACGAAAAACTATCTTCAAATACCAAATCACAGCATTAGAAGTAAGTTTCTAGTTAATCCAAATAGACAGAATAGCAAAACAGCAAGTAAGGGGAGTTTTGAAAAAGGAGAGTGGGGACACAGAGAAAATCTGGTGAGACGTTTCTCTCACTTATCATTTATTAATGAGAATAAGATCCAAGTGAAGAAAATGCCATTTTTCCCAATCAGCTCAGAAGCACCATAACTAAACAATGAACAGTGCAAATAAAACCCCTTTTCTGAAAACAAACAGTTGCCAGAAAAACACCATGAGCAAAGTCAAACAAGCAGGGAAATGATCATCCCTCTGTACTCAGCACTGGTGAGGCTGCACCTCGAGCGCTGTGTTCAGTTGTGGACCCCTCATTACAAGAAAGACATAGAGGCCCTGGAATGTGTCCAGAGAAGGGCAACAAAGCTGGTGAGGGGTCTGGAGCACAGGTGCGATGGAACTGGGATGATTTGGTCTGCAGAAAAGGAGCCACGTGCAGTGCTTTCTGCCAGCTGGCTCCCAGCAGAGATGAGGCTGTGTAATGGTCATCACCCTGACCAGTTCTGGGACAGGGGAAGGATACGCAGAAGCTGTGTGTGATGATCGGTCCTGATACTGGGACCACACAGAAAGCTGTAGTGCTGCTCCACCAGAGCTTCCAAAGAAAGATTATAAAATGCCTGGAGCACTCCTTTTTCATAAAGAGCGCAAGAGAAATGTCCTTCATGAAAACCATAGAAATAGTTACACTTCCAAAGGCAACGCTCGTGCTACTGTTTATACTTTCTTGGTTTAAAGCTGATAAAACAGATGAGCTCCGGGGCTGTGCTGTGATGGAAGCTCTGGATTTCAGCAAGGGTGTGGGTGGGCGCGCATGTGTGCACGTGCCCATGGAAGCAGCACCCGTGTTCTGATCAGCTGGTTTATGAAGGATTAGCAAGAGACAAAAATAGAATGAGGTTCAGGAAAGGGACGCAAAATGGAAAGGAAATACCACTTGTCAGCAGTCATTCTATTCTTTCCTCAAAGGGGTAAGATCTAGCCTCAGTTCACCAGGATGCAAGGGTCAGATCTGTGGTCCCTTCAGCTTATGTTCTACTTTAATATTAGCAGTGCATCTTGCCTCCTTCTACCTTGCTCCCTCCCTCAACTTTCTTATTCACCATTGTTATGTCTTAGAAAACAGATAAGGAAGGCTCCACTTTAGTATTATCCCTTTGCAATTTTAAAAATGATTTTCTAATATCTGGACAATTTCCTCTGAACACTTAGAAATCTAACAATAAACCAGCTTACTATGGTGCATTAACAGCAATGCATCTGCTTGTTTCTCTTTTCTTTCTGCAGGTCAGTAAAGAATCTCAGTGTTCTGGAAGTATCAGCCAAGTCAGGGGCTTTCATCACCCACAGCTACATCCATTTTACAAATGAAGAAAAGAAATGGCTTGTCTATGAACGCAGCACAAATCTCTAAGGCAGTACAAATGTAATCCTGGCATTCAGCACCCAAATTCCTCACCCAGCCTCTTGGTACACACAGCTTTCGACTGCATGCGAGAAGATGTCACTGTGATAAATGCTAGATGCCTCAGAAATGCCTTCTGCAACCAGTAAGACAAAGAGCATGTGCAGTGTGCTCAGGCAGAGGAACAGCACTAGAAACTGATAGAAACAGTAGAAATTAGTGATTGCCTCCTGATAGCAGCGGCTCATTTTCTTGCATGGTCTCTCTTGTAATTCCTTTTTCTCAATTTTCTTAAGAAAAGAAAAAGGGTTACATTTGGGTTCTGTAATGCTATGCATCCCGTGTCCTCATGCATCCCTGCACCTACATGCAAGGTCAATCAGCTGCCAAAAAAATCACAATGTAGAAGTTCCTTTTCCTGAGCTCATCAGATATGGACCGGAGGATTGCAGAATGATAGGAGAAAGGCTACAGCAGCAAACTGCAGTCAAAGAGGCTGCCCCAATGAGTTTCTGAACATGGAGCCTTTCTCAGTATACGTGTCCCCAGGCAGCTGTCAACAGGAAGGCAGCCCTGGTGCTTTGCAGGATGAACGTACAAAGGGAAATCCTGAGCTGAGGAAGGCACAATGAGACAAGCAATTGCATGAGCCCAGCTCAGTGTGGCACTGCAGGGATTTGTGGCTCTTCAGAGCAAATGGAAAAGCTGGTGGAGCATGCCAGTTACTGCCAGTGCCATTAACAAAAGCAAATCCAGGGCTAAAACGATCCAATGGAAAAATCTCAGAGAGAGAAAATCTACTTGTCATGTGTTTATATGTGGCTTAGCAGGAGGGTTCCTTGGACAAGACCCAAACTTGTGACAAATGCACACAATAATGAGCAATAATTATAATCTGGGGTGCTGAGGAACCATAAACAGGTTGAACTTGTTCAGTACTGTCATCAGCCCTAAGCAGACAGGCCTGGCCCTGCATGCAGCACGCTGCCTCATGCACTCACGGCTTCTTTCATGTGACAGGCTACCAGGCACCCATGGCCCCCATGCTACTGACATGCGATAAGTATACAGGGGTTTCTAGAGCAGGTCAGCAAAGGAGCCACTCTATGCACATCCATGTACATCTCCATACTACTCCTCAGGTTTCTGGATGTGCATTTGCCTCCCACACTGCATACAACCTTACTTGTTACCCTCATGTTGCATGCAATTATTGTGCTGCTATAGCTAGCAACGTTGCAGGTGTTGATGGGGGACCTCAGTGATAGCACTACTAAGTAGCGTTAGCATCACGCACAAAAGCTTCTTCACGCTGCCTCATTGCACCCAGTACATTGCAATCCTAAATCACTGTCATTCTCTTCAGCTTACACCAAGTTTGCTGTGTTTTAGATGAGAACAAGGTTAAGGAGAACAGATTTGTTGCTGGAATGCAATGGTAAGCAATGCAGTGCCATTCCGCAAACACAGCTATGGGATGCTGCAGGAAGGGAATTCAGCCCCAGCTGCAAGGTCTGCAGCTGGCATGGGAGCTGTGCTAGGGCTGGGGCTCAGCAGCAACAGGACAGATGTTGTTGGGGTGGGTAACTTGTTTGGAGTTTTTTTGGTGTATTCTGCTGCTACTGACAATTTTTTTCGTAACGGTAACATAGAAGCTAAATACTCAATTGGACTACTTATTAACTATTCAAATTACTTTTAACTGGGTCAAACCTTATTGCTACAAAAAGAGGAATTTCTGCCATTGGCAGCAATAATAGCAGGCTTTTTTGGCTCCTCTACCCTCGGATCTGGATGACCCTTGAACTGATGCAACATGCAAGTAACTCAGCCAAAGACAGTAAAGTTCAGCCAGGACAAACAGATTTGGAGCCAGAGCTGCATACTCATGGCTCCATCTGTCTTTTCATAGCCACCCACAGGGAGCAGATTTATTCAAAGCTATAAAGTGCCACATTATATGTGCATGGCATTCGTGATCAATTAGAGCAAGAAGGTCATGCCTCAAGGAGCCGGCTGGCTGGCAGAGGCACAGCACTGCAGGGATGGGTGAAAGGGAGTACAGGCTATAGAGATGAACAGGATCTACAGCAAAAATACAAGAATTATAACATTTTGTTTCTATAACGAGATGATTGGCAGATCAGAGCTTTATTCCTGGAATGATTTATGGAAACTGTCTGAAACAGCATTGACAAATCACACACAGACCCAAGAATCTGAATAACTAAAATTGGTTCTGTTGCTGTTTTGTTTTCAGATGCTGTACGTTTACAAAATGTGTATACAAGTAGAAATTTGCTTAGAATTTTTCAGCACAACTTTTTCTATTGGAAAATGTCATTTCTTTTTGTTAACTATCAAAGCAGTTTGCAAAAAGAATGAGACAATTTTGGGCAAATCCTTTGTTCTACAAGTTTTACATAGGACTTTTCATTATTTTGCAAACAAAACTTTCAGTTCTTAGTGGAAACCATTCTAGTTTAAAAATCTAATTTTAAGTAAAAGAGTAAAATAATAAATAATAAAAATAAACCTTCAGCTATGCATGAACAAAAATGTCAACTGTTCACTTTTGAGAAGCACTTCTCTGGCTTGCCGGTTCAAAAATAAGAATATGATCTTTGAACTAAAGTAGGGGAACTCTGAAGAAAATGTAAGTATATCAAATCCATGCAACATGTCACATCACGTCACAGATTTCCTTCTCCTCCTAATGCCCAAGGAGAAAAGAGACTAAGTAAGTGTATTACAGCCCTAAAAACGTCCTGGTATGTAATAATCTGTTCCTTGTTTTCCGGCTTTGCCCACTTGTGTCATTTTAGATTAAAGTCTGTAAGACACTCTTTGTAACATTTTTTTCTCCCAACCACAGTGTTCCTTTATCCTCATCTGAGTCAGGACCCCATGCAGTTTCCAGAGCCCTCAATACTTTTTTTTTACAGCTCACTTCTTAAGTCTCACTTGTGCAGTTAGACAAGCAGGAGAGCAAAGATGGGATCAGCAATAAAACTAGATTACTGTCTTTTGGCACAGAAAGTGGAGCTACACTGATCCAAACCTGGGTTTTCAGTTTGGCAATGCAGAACACCAATCCAGGCAACAGCATCTTAGAGGTGAAGCACAGTAACTGCCTCATCATCAGTGACACACTCCAGCTGCAAGGCTATAAACCACAGTGATGCACATTCAGAGACCGCCGGGGATGGATATGGTTTTGGCTGCTGAGGGTCATATTCTGTTCAGTCTGTCTGCAAGTACCAACAGGCTATGAACGTACACTCCACAGTGGCTTCCTGCCACTTACAATTTAACTGCTTCTCCTTTTCCAGCTCCCTATTCCAAAACATCTGCTCATTCTTCTGCAGACTGCACACTTGACTTAGAGACCTGAGTGACTCAGGGATACTAACAGTAATACTTTAAGTATCAGTGGAGTGAGTACAGACCTCCTCTGCAATTATTCCGATCACTGATTTTAGCTCCCTGACCCTTCTTTTTAATGCTTGTTGTCACTGCAATAGGTCTGAATGATCTAGAATGCTGACATTTTTACATTCTATTGTATCCTGAGGGTCAGCAGCCATTAGTACATTCTTAGCTAAGAAGCATTAATCCACGAATCCTCCTCTTAAGGCAAACAACATTGAGAGCATATTGGCAACTTAAATGACAAGTGGTAGATGGTAAAGCTTTGCTGTCAGTCAGTGGCATTTGGTTATTGTTAACTCGTTTACACTGGTGTGGTTGTTGCTGCTAATGTTAATGGAGGGAGGTAAAGGTTGGCCTCACTAATACGTACACCCAAGGAAAGGATTTTGTAAAAGTTTTTACAAGAATATGCAATTTACCTCCCTCTCTCTGAACTATGTGGTACAGATGAACCACATGCAGGATACACTCCAGATCTTGATCTTGGTAGCCTTTCTCATGCATATCTTCCACGGAATCGGGATAGATGACCTGATCACGCAGTGTTCCAATGGACATGTAGGGTCTGCAAAACAATTCAGAGAAACCAGTCATCTAGAGCTGACTCTGAGAGAGTGTATCTTATTGAGGATCTATGAGCAGAGTACAATACTTTAAATAGCACGTTGCTAAAACTGGATTCATCTGCAGATACACTGTGGGTGAATGTTTTTCCAAACTTATCTTAGGCACAGTGTATAGTTTACATAACAGTTGATTACAAAAGAGTAACATGGGTATTATTACTATGAAAACAAAATGACAGAACAAACATCCATTTCACAGGCCATTCTGAGTGTTTTTACTGGGAATAAGAAGCAGCTTCTGATCTTACCACATCCCCTGACCAGGTAATCTCATCCCTCATACTAAAATAAGTCCCCACTCTGGAGCCAGGGTTGATTGTCATGAGCTGTGCACAGGTCCTAAATATTCTCCTAGCCTCTACACAAAGTCATTTCAAAGAACAGTTTTACAGTAGTGTAGATGCTAGCAGGCTATCCAGGCACCCTAAGACAGCAGTTACCTCCCACCCAATTACTGGGGAAAACAAATAAATGCCAACAGGAAGTGTGGGAATAGCTCTGTTTACTCCAAGTGATCCCAATCCAGCATCTATTTGCAAAGGCCAGGCCACTATATGTAGAGGCCTCATGTTGATAATTCTCACTTCTGACCTTCCTCATCCAACCATATATAATCAGTGACTTTATCAACCATGTTGATGCTGTGTGAAGACTAGACTTAGTAAGGACTCAATAGGTCATCCTGGAGCTGAATTTACTGAAGCAGTGAGATGCTTTAGGGTCAAAATTTGGGCTAGCAAAGACAAATTTAATGCACCCTACAGAACCTTGCTTTATGGACTCTGATGGATCATTTGAGAAATAGGGCCAAAGATTGCTGGTCACAAGGTTATCTAGTTCTTACAAATTGGAAACAACTTGAGAACGATCTGTAGGATTTTGAGATCAAAGGTGAATGTAAGAGCTGGACAGTCAAGCTCAAGACCCTGACCTGCTTGTTGTGCCAGTAGTTACACTAACTCCTTCTGCCAAAACAATATTTGTCTTACTAAAGCTGTGGCAATGGCAGGGGCTGATAGCACAGAGGAGCAGCTAACATTGGGCCAGCAATAAGGAGTCTTTCAGGCAGCTTACTCTTGCCACAGAGAACAGATTGTTGTTTGTGCTGCTGAAGACCACATTGGTCTGTACCCACCTGTATTTACACTACTTTCACCACCAGCTGGGTGAAGGTGGGAAGGACAGGGTATCTAACTGCTCACAAACATCTGGGTCATCTCCCTGCTGTTGGCAGCACGGAGCAAAACCAGAACCACAGCTCAGACAAAAGCACTGCTGCTTCTTTTTGTTCATCACAAGAGTGAACCATTTACCTTAACAGGGCTATTGCAAAACCTTAACTCTAAACATTATGTAATTTCATGAAGTAATGATAAATTACGTTTCCACAGAGCTCTTAAAATAAATAAAATCTGCAAAGGTTTTCATTAATTGCATATGTAGAAATCACTTCATCTGTGCCAGACTGCTGCCATCTCTGGGACAGAAGACAGCAACTCTACCTAGGCTAAGAAAAATTTAGCTGAGGATGTGAATGAAACTATGCAATTTAGTTGAAGCTGCAGGTGAGAGCAAGGAGAAGAGCTACCTGTCATATAATTTGTCTGGGGATTAATACCCTACTCTTCTGAAGTATGGTTCTATAATCACTAACAGCTCTGAGATTTAACCTACAGCAAAAGCAAGAAGGCAAAGCTCAAAAACACCACGAGGCCTCCTGTTCCCATGCTGAGTCACCAGCACCACTTCCTGGTACAACTGGATTTTCCTTGTGGTCTCCTATCTGAACGCACCGGTTGATACCAAGCTCATCTCTCTCCATCTAGTTTGTAAAAAGAAACAAAAAGCCCGGCGTGCAGTATTATAGTGAAATCCTTTAATTAATAACTAAATGGTTTCAGGTTATGGGTCTGTCCCAGAATGTAGGAGAGTAAGTTATGCTTCCTCCATCTCAGAAGGAGCCACTCATGTCCCTGAGGGTGCAATTCATCTTGCTTGGCATAAAGTCTAGGGCTTCAGCTCTTGCCAAAACAGAGAGGCCCCCCTGTGGTTGATTTATTGCATTTATTTTAGGGTGGGAATGGATTTCCTCCTGGAGTTGTCTTAGTCGCTCAGTGGGGGCAATGCACAGACAATGAACTTAGCCAACTTCTGAAGGGCCAAAGCTAGATGAGCTTTCTCTCACGCTAAGCCACACTCACCTACCCACAACTTGGGTTACTGAAGACAATAACCTCTTCATCTACCACATGTGCCTCAGAGACAAACAGACTAAAACCTGTTAAATATCAGAGGTTATTGCAACAGAGTTTACATGTGTTTAATAGCTAGACATTAGGCAGCAAGCAGTCTGAGAAGGTGGATACAGCAAGTATAAAATCTTGTCTTTGCTAGTTAGCTCCTTGTTAAAAGATGGCATTCATTACATTTTTAGCAGTTCAAACAGCAAAACCAGTCTTTTTGTCCTTAATTACACTTTAATTTAACTGGTCATAATTGATTTCTTATGAAGTTTTTGCTTTCAGACAGAGTGTCTCAGTGTCTGGCTGGAAGAAAGCAACTTCTGTGTGGGTCATATGTCTGTGACAGTAATAGCTCTGCAATTATTATCATTATTTCCCTGCTTTCTGACAAGAGAGTTGGTTTCGGAGAGTATTTAAGATCAGTAATTATTTGGTTTTTTTAAACTTTGATATCAAACATCCAGAACACTAAGCAAACATACAGATTCTTGCCTAGTTTTCTGGAATTTCATGGCCTTTATTGGTAGAGACATTTTCAGCTCTTACAAACCGATATTTTTAGGCTAAGTTTGATGTTTTCATTGTATCACCAGTTCCTGTATGGTACATCTAGTGCTTCGCTTTGTAGAGCTGTAACTTCATCTTGCTAGTAACAAGCTGTCATCCCCAAGGTTTACGAGTTCTCCTTTGCAGTGCAGGCTTTAAAGAAAGACGATACCAACACAAGCTGCAATCCGAAGCCTGTGATGTGGACAGGTCCCCAGTGCCCTGTTGATGCCTTGCACTGTATACAACACGGGCCAAACATTAGAGAAATCGCTTGGGAGGAAGGGGAAGTGTTGCAGTTGATAGCATCTCTTTACTGCTGATAGCTTTGGTGGAGGGAAACCAAGGGCAGGTGGCATGAAACGGACTGGAGTACGTACCAGGCACTTGTCTTTTGGGAACGCAGGATAACTGACACTTAGGAAATGTTAGGCAACACCAATTCAAAGGGATGGTAGATCAATGTTGCACACTGAAAACGAGCAGTACTAATATCTGTTAAGTCATTGATGTCTTAGAAAAACAGAGGGCTTCACTTTTTGTGTACTGAATTAAGGAAGATGTCTTGCTTTGATGCCAAGAAATGTCACAATTTTGAACAAGCCAAATCCACATATAACACTTACAAATATTTCCTGAATGTATTTAAAGGCTTTTTGATCTTTTAAGCATATAAACTGTGCTAAAAGAACCAATTACCTGTTCTGACATCCAGTACACTTAAAGAATTATATCAACTAATTAAAATTACCCAGAGAGGTTGTGGATGTCCCATCCCTGGAGGCATTCAAGGCCAGGCTGGGTGTGGCTCTGGACAGGCTGGTCTGGTGGTGGGTGACCCTGGTCAAGCCAGGACAGTTGAAACTAGATGATTTTTGAGGTCTTTTTCATCCCAGGCCATTCTATGAATCTATGAATACACACTTTGAGAATCTCTGAAGCAATCTGAATGGGTCAGAATCCTAATTAGAAGCACTCTGAAATAAACAAGGGACTGAAAATACATCTTAACTAAGTGGTCGGTGTCAGAAGTTAAGGGAGATTAGCCCAGGGAACTGCTTCCAGGTACAGTACGTAGGGCTCCTTGTCTTCCTTCACATAGGCTGTGATTAACACTTCATCCGTGGAAACTGAAGTCTAAAAATATGAGGCCTGTGATTCTGAAACCCAACTCCATGCCTCCAAATCGGGATTTGACTTGTCATTTGCTGCCCAAATATGTTTGCAGTTATTACTACACTACTGTTCCCTCAGACAGCCACAGTTACATGAGAAAAGACTAATCCTCTAGAAAATGAGGTGTGACGTAACTATAAACTTTTGACCAACCTATCTTTAATGTTTCTGTTTCTGGCTTACAAGGTGTATATTTAATATAACTAAGAAAGAGAGAGAGGGGGAAATGCTACACCTGAGATTCTCCATTACAGATAAATTGCAGGTTGGATTTTCAAATGAGACTGGGATCGTTTCCAGTGCCAGCTATGACATCTGAAGCAAAATATACTCCAAATTTAGGAACATTTACTCAAGAAGATGACTCTGGAGCCCAAGTTCCAGCCACAGAGGTGCCTTCCTAGGAAACCTGAAAGATCATCATGAACACTAAAGAAACTCCAGTCATGAAAGCATAGCTCATGCCTACAGATATGCCCAAATGTCCTCAAAATCCTCAGAAGGGATTTTGCCTGGCAAGGACAATGAAAGCAACAGTTTCAAATTCAGCACAAACCACAATGGCTACCAGGCATGCAAGATGAGGGTATGCACTCTAAGCTACTGGTCAGCAAACCTCTCCTAAGAATTGGGTTCAGGCTAAGTTCTCAGTTTGCAGGGGATCATTTTCCCATTTTTCTAGGCTAGTATCCAGGTCAAAGAGAAGTCAAAGGGAAGGGCACTTTCTGATCTTCCCACTGAAGCAAAGAAAATGCTGCTTAGAGATAGTAATTGTGTCGAAAAGGAGAGTAATCAGAAAGAACCTAATTATATATTATACTGGTCAGACTCCTCAACTGGAAGGAAGAAGAGTTTGATAGCAGTCCTCACCACATATTATTTTTGTTGTTTCTTTTCAATCCAGTGCTCTCTAATCTAATACGCAGTAGTAATCCTTTCTGTAGCACTGTATAAACACAATGAAGGGGGTTCTA